GTTATATCAGTTGCAGCAAGCATAGAGACCCTTTACCGCGCAAAAAAGGTAGTGATACCATTGCAGGCTGTCCGTGACGTGACCACATGTATTGACACAGCATAGACCGGCCGCCCTTAGTGGTCTCGTCGGCAAAAAAACAAGCTGATCTGGTCACGAATAGAATGGACCGAGTCGTTCAACGTATTGGTTTCGTTCCGACGGAACACTTTCAAGTGCGCGCTTGGTCGGTTTCTTTCGAGACAAATCCAAGTCAAACCGCGGCGCTCAACACACGGTCGAGTCTGAAATATTGCCGCGGTCGGGGAATCGCTCTTTAATTGCAGACTTAATTTCTTCAAAGTAGAAACAAGGGTGAACTTTGACGTAGTCATCAATAAATATAAGCACTATCGAGATGAGGGCTGCTTTTCGCGAATCTTCGTATCCACGTTCCCAGATCTCTGAAAATGTTGTAGCCATCTGCTCAGTGTACGCTGTGCGACACCCAAAACATGACTGATACCATGTCAACAAGAACGTCATACGCGTACAAAAGAATCACTGATCTCCACCTTAAGTCATGCGAGTATGTCATTGTTGGTGCGAAAACTCCGAATGGCGGTGATTTCGCTGCCATTGGGGCTTTTTCGTCTTCTACGCGTTTGTGTTCTGGGCTATCTTGCCTCTAATCTGAGTTCTATTATTATTAGCACTGCCATTACAAAGCTGGATCTGCTGACCTAACACGCCATGTCTTAATCTCAGTTCAAAAGTCGATTTTGCCAAAAAAAAAAAAAAAAAAAGACTGAAAGGCACAATACCGATTCCAGTCGCCGTCAGCATGATACATGTCCGCAACTTACCCGCATTAACGTCCGTATCTGTTCTATCAGTTTGCTCAAGTGTTTTGGACGATGCTACCGTCCATGTATTGGTCCATGTACAACCCATATTTCTGTGTTGCGGTAAGTGATTTATCTAGGTAAGAAAGTATTCCACTGCGATTCACAGGCTGCAAGCACTGGTGGATACCATGTAAGAGTCTACTGTGTATTAATCCTTGCAAATAGTAGCTTTTGTACTAATCTAATTTCATCAGGAAACTAAAAAATTGGTAGCGCTGCAATAGAGGTCCCTCTTCCACCATTGAATTGGTTCCAGAAGCATCAGCGTAAGTCCAGAAATGTAAGCAAACGAAAAAACCACAGTTATATCCGTCTAATTGCAGCAGAACCTCTGCATGTTTCACGTTGTAGCTGCTACTAAGCTGTTTAGCGAGATTCCACGTAATGTGCTCAAGAGCTTTCATGTAGACATTCGAGTTTATTGCGTCATAGAACACCGCTAGTTGTTGGTCTGTATCCACAATAATACAGCTCCAATACAAGTTGACAGGGGTCAGAATGACTGTATCTGATGTTCTCGCGGCAATGACTTTCAACGTTATACCTTCGAAAAGTGTTTGCCGTCCACTACGTTTGGGATTGGGTTTAGCGGGCGCAATACCAATGAATTGTACCTTTGTAGTGCCACAACACCAACGATCACAAAGCGCCGTGAAAACAGCGTTATTTAGCCAATGCGGAGGCTTAATGTGACGTTCTTGGGGCCTACCAAACGGAGGAAGCAGTCGTTGGCGGCCTTGGCGAAGAGAGTCGAGGTCGGAGGCGGAGTCGAAGGTGGCGCTGCAGTCGAGGTCTTGCTTGAAGGTTGAGTTGAACAGAAGAGGCAATTGAGAATTGATTAATCAGTTAGAGTTGGCGGCGGCAACCCAGTAGTTGCCGCACAACGAGTAGTTCTTGGCAACCAGATATTCAAGAACGTAGCCAGGTCCCATCCTAAAAACTATCTTTCTTAAATCCTGTTTTATCTGTAGCTACCAATGAAAACCTACGAATCCTAATCTTATCTTGATCGGAAATTTCGCGCAGCGTCCCAAAATCGCAATTTCCAGATGGAAACTTGATTGTTGCAAATCCATGTGATTTTGGACCAATAGGATTGTAGACTGAACGAAAAAGATATGCAGAGTTAAGATGTGGATACAACAACTATGTTTAAATGTATATATTTGTGTTTAGAGTTACCTACCCGTATGTACCATTCTTTTGGTAGAGGTCGGAGAAAGTTGGAGGTCGTAGATTTTATGGTATGGTTGACTATGATCATTTTTCCGACATTACTAGAAGTTTGTATAAAGTG